AAGTCCCAGTAGATAGTTGTATGTCATAGCTGCACATCCTTCTAGTTGCTGTATGTGGGACGCGGCCTCAGCATGGCCGGAGAAGCGGTGTGTCGGTGCGCGCCCGGGATCCGAACCCGGGCCGCCAGTAGCAGAGCGTGTGCACTTAACCGCTAAGCCACGGGACTGGCCCCTTAATTTGCGTCTTGAACTTCTGCCATTCTGAGCATTTTCCCAGAGCCATTGTACAGCAGCTGCTTCTGAACCTGCTAGGTCAGGAAGGGTTAGGGTCCCCAATTAGCAGATGAAATCCCCGCCATCCACAGAGTGCACAGGCTTCCCCATGGGTCATCAGCCCCAGCCTCAAGCTTCCTCTGTTAATTGACATAAGCGGTCCTCTCCCTCCCCGAAGTCTCCTGCATCCCCTCACAACTTGCTCATAGCATCTTCACACATCTTTAAAAAGGTCACTTTGGGCCTAGAAAACTCTCGTCAAAAAAGGGGAAAAAGTCAGACAGGACATTTCTGCTTCCAGTCACGCAGAGTGGATGCTTTGGGCCAGCTGTCCCCTGAGAACGGCTGAAATGCCAAACACCGATCCCCGAGGAAGGTGCTGCCGAGTCTGCTCAGCCAAGTGGGGTCAGCCAGCTATCCACACGTGAAATACAGAATTGGGCCCCGACCTCGCACACACAAGCCTCAGCTCTGGGGTGACTGCAGACCCAAATGTGTAAAGCCGAGCAAGCCTTATAGCAGATGATAGAGGAGCGTGTTCTCCATCCGTCAGGCCAGGGAGAGATTTCTTAACTAGGACTTCAGAAGCACCAGGCGTGCAGAAAAAGATGGATAAATTCGAGTACATTAAAATCGAGAACTTCTGTCTGTCAAAGGACACCTTAAGAGAATAAAAGGAAAGGCATAGAGGGGTGGAATCACTTTGTAACATGTGTGTATGCATTTTCTACTGCTGCTGCAGCTCGTTACCAAAAATTTAGCAGCTTAAAACAACAGAAATGTGTTATCTCAACGTTCTGCGGGTTTGAAGTCAACATGAGAATTCCTGGGCTAGAAGCGCGTTGTCAGCAGGGCTGTATTCTTTCTGGGAGCCCCGGGGGAGAATTTGTTTTCTTCCCTTTCCAGCTTCTAGGGGCCACTGGCATTCCCCGGCTCGTTCGAGCACCTGTCTCTGACTCTGCTTCTGTGGTTACATCTCCCTCTGAGTGCAGCCAGGAAAGGTTCTCTGCTCTGAAGGACTTGTGTGATTACACAGGGCCCACCTGGATAATCCAGGATACCCTCCCATCTCAAGGTCCTTCATTTCATCACATCCGCCAACTCCCTTTGGCAATGTAAGGTGACATATTCACCGGCTCTGGGGTTTAGGGCAGGAAATCTTTGGCAGGGGGAACATTATTCTGCCTACCACAACCTATTTAAAAAAAAAAAGCACAGTGTCATATCCAGAGTATTTAAAGAAATCCTACAGATCAATAAAAAAATTATAACAGCTCAGTAAGAGATTTGAACAGACACTGAACAGAAGATGGCATCCACAGGACAAATACATTTATAAAAAGGTTCTCTACTTTATTAGTTCTCAGGGAAACACCAATTATAAACAAAATGACGTACTATTACGCACTGATCAGGACCACCAAAATTAGAAAGTCTGACAACACCAAGTGTTGGAGATGCTCTAGTGCAAGGGATTTTCATACTGCTGGTAGTAATGTGAATTGAGGCTACCAACTTGGAAAATAGTTTGGCATTAACTAAGAGAACAGAAGCACACATTCCCATAACCTGGCCATTCCACGTCCTGACATGGAAATAAACTGTCATGTGCACCAGGGGGCACAGCCAAGAATACCTACAGCCAAACTATTCACAGTAGCCGCATGCTGGCATCACCCACACGCCCATCGGGAAGAGAACGGAGAAAGATGCAAGGATATCCATTCACTAGAACTCCACGGAGCGATCCAAAGTAAACGGCTACAACCACTCACAGCAATCAAACGTAGTGACGAGCAATCAAACGTAGTGACGAGCAATCAAACGTAGTAACGGAATTCAGATTCGAGAGAGTATGCGCTGTGATTCCAGCTCCTACAAAGTTGTTTTCAAAAGTAAAAATGCCCTACGGTACTTGGGGACAGGTACTTAGGTGGTAAACCTGCACAAGGAAAACAAGGAAATGACTGCATTTCGGGGTGGGGCAGGGTGGTGACTGGGAAGGGACACCGACGGGCCTTTGGGGTCTGGCAATGTCCTATTTCTTCTCTTGAGTGGTGGTTACAAGCCTGTTGGCTACACGGTGATAAAAATACTTACGCTGCTCTTTTCCTTTTATACAATTTTGTGTCCAGGTTACGTTCACAAGTTTGAAACTGTTTTTTTTTGTGAGGAAGATCAGCCCTGAGCTAAAATCCACACCAATCCTCCTCCGTTTTGCCGAGGAAGACCGGCCCTGGGCTAACATCTGTGCCCATCTTCCTCCACTTTATATGGGACGCCTCCACAGCGTGGCTCGACAAGCGGTGCATCGGTACGTGCCCGGGATCCGAACCACGGCCACCAGCAGTGGAGTTCGAGCACTTAACCGCTATGCCACGGGGCCGGCCCCCAAAACTATTTTTAAAGAAAGTACACACCCTGAATCCAGGAACGTGGGTTACACGGGCATCTTTTCCTGACGCCCGGGGTCATTGACTCAGTAACTATGAAGAGAGGTCCCCAAAGCCCACTGGGGGCTCACGAGGTCCCACCAGGTCCTGGCCACAATCTCTGGTCAGAAGTAAAGTCTGTTCACTGGGATGTACTTTTCTTCCTTAGTAGGTAAGAGTCTGACAAACCCAGGAAGACTTAGAATTAAGTCTAGAATGGTTAATGTAATAAAAGTCATAGAATTATGACTTTTGTGTTAAAGAATCCGGACAGGTTTGATATTTCAGTCTTATAATGGTTAAAGAATTTGGCCTATTATATAGAAAGTTTCACAAATCCAATCTTAAATGTGTAATTAACTAATTGACTTAGTCTTGTAACTCCACATGGAAATCTTAGTGCATTTACGCATAGTATCGGAATATGTAAGAGACTTTGGGCTCGTTGCATTTCTAAGTGAAATTATTAGATTTCTAAAAATTAATTAGCACTAAGAACGTTTTGTTCATTAGGCAGTCGAAATGCCTAACGAGGAATTTGAATATATTTCACTTAGTATTGCAATTTAAAGTGTTGAAGGTGTTTAATGAATTAAGTATGTCATTTTCAACGACCCTTAGAAGCTGACGATTAAGATTTGCAGGTCTTGGGCCCGCCCCGTGGCTTAGTGGTTGGGTGCGCGTGCTCCGCTGCTGGCGGCCCGGGTTCGGGTCCCGGGCGCGCACCAACGCACTGCTTCTCCGGCCATGCTGGGGCCGCGTCCCACGTGCAGCAACTAGAAGGATGTGCAACTATGACATGCAACTGTCTACTGGGGCTTTGGGGGAAAAAATAAATAAATAAAAAAATTTAAAAAAAGATTTGCAGGTCTTACAAACATAAAAACGAGATCTATAAGGAAAATTTAAAAGATGAGGAAAAGCTATGTTTGTGAATTTGTAGCTTTCAGAAACCAAACCTTAATTTAACAGGCAAAGTAAACCTGTGAAGAGTCTTTTCTAAACACAAATGCCTCTCAAAACTCAAACCAGCAAAACTCAATGACCGTTGGAGTTGTTAGCCGCTGACGTCTGCGGATGAAACAGAACAAGAGAAATAACAAGTCGTCTTCCCCTTGGTCAGGATCCTCCCTCCAGCCGGGTCTCTCCTGAGCAGGGTGTGGACACGGCCCCGCCCAGCACGGTTTGGGCATTTGTGGACACCCGTATGGTGCTGGTTCTGTTCCCCTTCTCTCCCCTTCCTGGCCTTCCTTTGCGTTAGTTGAATATTGGCTTATAACGTGCGCGTTCTTTTGGTGTCTATTCTTGAGACTGCAACATCAGTCCTTGACTTTTCACAGCCTGGGATGAATGATTCCTTCTATCACTTTACCACCAAAGACCGTTAAAGCCCCTTAATGACCTCGACCCCTCCTGCTTTTTGTTTCCTTGTGTCAGGCACTCTAAGGATTCATTTATTTAAAGCCCTACCAGACACTGTCGTGAGCACCGTTTGGCACAGTCAGTATTCATCTTTATTGATCCTCATTTTTATGCTTTTTCTGTTACCCTATTCCTTCCTCCATCTGCTTTTTCAGTCTGGGATCATTGTCCGGCTGCCCAACAAACTGACTTTCATTTCTTTTTTTTTTTTTTTGACGCAGGTCTGCTGGCGATGAATTCTGTCCATTTTTGCTTTCTGAAAACGTCTTTACTTTGCCTTTTACTGGGTGTAGAATTCAAGGTTGGCAGGTATTTTCTTTCTTCACTGTAAACATGTACATCCAGTGTTTCTAGATTCCATTATCTCTGCTGAAAGTCTTAATGTTGCTCCTCTGAAGGTAACGTGACTTTTTCCCTCTGGCCGTTTATAAAGTTTTCTCTCTGCCTTGATAGTTTTACTGTGATGTGCCTGGATCACATTTTCTTTGAGTCTATTTTCTCCTCTCTTTCAAATATTTCAATTACACATTGAGCAATTTTTTTTTTTACCATGTCCCATGTCTCTCATGCTATTTTCTGTATCTTTATTCTTATTTTTCCTCCGCATTCAGGCTGGATAGTTTCTATTGATCTCTATTGCTTCACTCACAAAGCCCTTCACCCTGCTAAGCTGTCAGAACCCCTGCACGGCCCAAAATCTTTTCTCTGGTTGGCACATGACCCCAGCAAAGATACCCGCAAATTCTCCTCTCTGAGTTTCTATTTCTGCTGGATCTCATTCTGGTCACTCCTCACTATTGTGATCATCTTTAATGCTTAAGAAGATCTCTGAACTTTGTCCAGCTTTTCTATGTTTTCTAAAGGAAGATTGGTCCCTGTTACCTAATCCATCATTACTGGAAGAAGTCTGTGCTTCTGATTATAGTTATTTTTCCCTGTTCCTAGAGTTTGAACATTTGGCATTTTTTAAACGGTCACTTAACATTCATTTGAGGAAACTGTCATCCTCCTGTTGTGAATTCTTGTATTACAGCCGGTGTTTCACAACTATGATTTTGCAGTGAACACATCTATGTACATGGCTTTTTCTCATCTGTGGAATTTTCTCTAGAAGTAAGTTCCTTCGTGAGCTTACTGCTTCAAAGGGCATAAACTTTTCTTTAGATAAGTGACACTACCTGGGACTAAATCGTAATACCACATCACCACAAAACAACTTATTTAAGTCCTGTAAATAGTCGCTGTGATTAACTTGATCCTAATTCAGCATTTTTTAAACACTTGGATCTTCTTTTGATTTGAATCACTCCTGCCCTGTGCTCTGTGCAACGGCTGGTGGAACCGTGGACGTGTGGCCTGTAGACGACAGGCTTGGTCGTCACCTCTGTCCGCTCGGTGTGCTGCCACACCGTCACCTACCACGCAATCATCGGAATCAACAGGAAACCCTCCAAACACAGCGTGTCCAGGAATCGCCCACGGAGATTTTGGTTTCGTAGGTCTTAGATGGACCCCCTGCGTCTGCTCATTTAAGGGCCTCCCCAGTCGGTTCTGATGGGCAGTCAGGTTTGGGAACTACGAAGGTGCTGTTTCAGAGAGTTAAACGTACTGTTGGATGATTTCGGTGCAAGTGCATGAAAGCCCCGGGCCCTCTGGCTCAGCAGAGCCAAACTTGTATTAAAGAATACAGTGGCACTGGGAGGGAAAAGAGAGCGAAGCAAATTATGGCAAATACATTTCAATTAGAATCCGCACTTGCACAGCTCAGAGACCCCGGAGCTGCAGGGCCAGACTGTCGTCAGCTGCGGTGGCTGGTGACACCCAGGCTGCCCAGGAGCCTGAGCTTCTCAGGCTTAGAGCCTCCTCCTTAGATATGCAAGCCGCTGCATCCAGAGCGTGCTAGCCTGTCACATACCAGGGGGTCTGGGTTCTTCTGTTTTTTTTTTTTTGGTGAGGAAGACCAGCCCTGAGCTAACATCTGATGGCAATCCTCCTCTTTTTTGCTGAGGAATATTGGCCCTGTGCTAACATCTGTGCCCATCTTCCTCTACTTTATACAGGACGCCGCCACAGCATGGCTTGACAAGCGCTGCATCGGTGCGCGCCCGGGATCCGAACCCGCAAACCTCCGGCTGCCAAAGCAGAGGGCACGCACTTAACCACTGCACCACCAGGCCGGCCCCTTTTGTTTCGTTTTTTGACTACGCATTCTGTCCTGGACCCCTACCTCTTGGCCACCAGCCCCACAGAGGCCCTTTCTGTTGGATAGATGGGCAAACAACCTTGGACTTCCTGCTGGACAGTTCACTCCAAAGGTGAGCTCCGCGGAGCAGCAGTGCCAAATTCACGACAGGAAGAGCTTCGGACGTAGCTGACCACCGTCCCAGGCCACGCTGCACCAGTCCAGGATGGCAGTGAGCTTCTCAGGCCTGTGGGTCTTTGGGAGAAGACTGGACGGGTGGCTGTCAGGACCGGGCAGGCACTGGTTCTCGTTCTGCAGGAAAGCACGAACCAGGGCAGCTGCACCTTATTTTCCAATTCTAAGATTTGATGACTTGTATTCCAACCCCAATTAAAATTTAGAATACCCCTCTTGTCCTGGAAGGTGCAGGACTCTGGGAGGGTCGTATTTGCTACTTCGGGACAGGTGGACACTTCCAGATGGTTCCTGGTTCTCATGGCTTCCTGGCTGGGACTTCTGCCACATATTGGGCTGGGCGGGTGGGGCTTCAGCCTCCTGTGAAGCCCCAGGAATCAGATAATTGGCCGCCCCCCCACCCATATGGCTGATTAGTCACTGTGACAATGACAACCAAATCAAGTAGCTCAAGTGTGGCTGAAGAGATTGATGGGAGCAGAGTTGGCTTCAAGCCCAGGGTGGGTTTTAGGACGAGGACGAGAACGCAGGTTTCCTCTCCCCGCTTCCCGTGCCTGGTCTCTTACCGAGGCCACTTCTTCGTGAAAGTAAGTGACAGCTAGCTATTTGGACAAGCAACTGTCATATCTCAGGGCCGTAATACACTACAAACTTGCTTGTTGCCCAGGTCACTGTCCGATGCGGGGCATGGGAGGGGCGGGCCAGTGCTGCCGTGATACCCGGAGCCAGGCCCCTTCCGCTGTCCAGGTCCTCCACCTTCCCTTCCTGAAACACTTCTCATGCTGGGTTTCCTGCTAATTGACCTCCACGCCTCCCCGTATCCATCAGCTTAGGGAGGCCTGCTTAGAGCTTTCGGGCTCGGGTGGAAAGGATCAGGACTTAGAAGGCTGAGTCACTCTATTCCAAAAACGACTTCACTGGTCTTTGTTACTCAAAGGCTTTCAAAAACCTCCATCTCTTACCGTTTGGGGTCTAGAAATTCAGGTATTTTTCAACTCTGCAAGATCTCAAATTCTGAGACTCTTTATTCCATTCTTTCCTTCTTGCAAATGGCTCACTTCCCCATAAGCAGCCCTTCTCCTTGTAACGCCACGTCAGACAGCAGTACAGATGAACACACGCCTCTGACAGTCTGGGTCTCCATGCTTTCCTGGGAGCTACGAAGGGTGTTCCACGGAAGGCCCATCCCGGCTGCCAGGCCAGGCCACTGACTTTAGACTCCTGTGGCAGCAGGGCTGCATTTCTGACACCAACTTCTGTGCGAGACAGCACGCACGTGCACAGCTGCTGAGACAAACGACCACACTATTGCGGCGCGATGCTGCACACACTGGGGGACTGCACAGAGGTGTCAGGGGCCAGTACTACAGGGGGTCTGCACAACGGCTGTCAACCTTCCATCTGCACCTGCACTTCAGTGTATAAGTCCACCCGGGCCGGACAGGCAGTGAGGAAATACTGACGGAGTCTGGGCCCCGACCAGGGCTGTTTGCACGACGCTGGAGTGGACATCCACTCGCCTGTGCTCCAGAGGCCTTGCGCCCGTGGACGGTCCGTGAGCGGTAGTGGGAGTGGGCGTGGCTTGTCTTTCTTCACTAGCTAAGTGGAGCCGTTCTAGCAAAAAAAGAGAAGGCGGAGACCAGTCAGTTGGATTCCCTGAAGTCTGTGCCTCCCCTGTCTTGAGGAAAGGGAAGCAGGTTTGGGATTTTCCTCCCTTGCTAATGACTGGGGCTGCAGATTTAACAGGCCACTGGGCCTCCTCTCAGGGGAACAACCATCCTGGTTTGTCCAGGAGTGGGGGTTTCCCAGATGTGGGACGTTCAGTGCTAAAACCAGGAAGTCCCAGGGTGACCAGGACAAGTCGGTCACCCCATTCTTCCTGACGGGAGGGTACTGGGAGGGGACAGGAGCCTAAGGGGTGGGGGCACTTGCGTGTGGAGGGATGAAGGGATGGGAGGGGGCCTCTGCCCTAGGGGTCTAGGGCAGTGACAGTCCTCCTAAGGTGGGGTCACCCTCCCAAAATACACCGCTCTTGCTCTGTGACAGGTCATATTTTTTGCTCATTACTCTTCTCCCCTGCTTTCAATCACTTCTCAGAATGTCGTTTCCAGCTCTTCGCTCCCACTCCCAGGCCCCCTCCTTTGTTGCTTTAAAGGGCAAATCTCAGGACCCAAGGCACAGGTGTGGTCTGATCTGTGCAGTCAGGAGCGTGGCTGTCTCCTCCCTTGTTCCAGACATTATGTCTTCGTTAATGCAGCCTCAAACAGCTTCCGATTTCTGGTGAGCAACATCATGCTCCACCTAGACACAGTTGAGCCTGAAATTGACCAGAAGTCCCCTTCCAAGTCCTTTTCTTATAAATTGCTCTTAAGGCCCCAGATCATTGGAGGAACTTGTAAACTCGATGAAGGGAAGGGGAAGGGACCCGAGACAAGTGGGTTTTGGTGGGCTGGGACAAGGGTATCATGCTGGTTTCAGGGTGTGGGGCCAATCACGGCTCCCAAAGGTCGACTTTATTTGGAGGGAGGGGTTGATGTTCCTCAGGCCGGGGGACAGAGAGGGAGGAAGCCAGTTCTCCCTGGTGGATTCAGCCTGGCTTCACCCCTGACCCCACAGAGCATGCCCCAGGCAGGAGTGAGCGGCAGGTGAGGAAGGGCAGAGCCTCTGCTGGAGCCCTGCCCCCTCAGGCTGCCCCCATCCTGGCTCTGTGCACACAGCAGGGCCGGGCACCCCAGGGCACAGCTCCCGGCACCCTCAACAGAGCGGCCGTGACCCAGCCCAGCTACTGGAGGGATGGGGGTCAGGGAGGGAAGTCGAGGGTGGGTGGGCCGGGAGCGGGGGGAGCTGGAGCTTACAACAACGACCTAGCAACCAGCGGGCGCCTCCGCCCACGTTGTGAAACTGAGGCCTGACAGGGCACGGTGGCCAGGCCAAAGAGGGTGGGTCCTCGAAGGTGAGAGAGGAGGGCGCTCGGAGGAAGGTCGGGCCAGCTGGGGAAGGGCAAAGAGGACACTGATCCCTGAATCTATCACAGACCCCATGCTTCGAGCTTATCCTCCTCCCTCCACAGAGTGCTCAAGTCCATCCTGTTATCTTGAGTCACATGAGAAGGAGACTCAGGGAGGTCAAGTGTCTGCCCAAAGTCACACCACCTGGACTTGGCAGAGCCCAGGGAGACCAGGTCTGTGTGGACACAAAGCCCTCGCACTTCACCAGCCAAAACAGAGCCGCCTGTTTTTGAGGGAGACAAGCTCTACTCCGGGACCCGTCGCCTTGGGAATCCCAAATCCCAGAGCTCACAGATATGCTGGGTGCCGACATGGGCTCCGTAAACACGTGTGGACAGCTGACCAGGGCAGGGAGCCAAAGGCGCCAGGCGTGCCATCAGCACCACAGCCAGGAGACATGGAGCCCCCCAGAACCCCAGGCAGGGCCCCCCGTCTGTTCTGGACTGGAGGGAAAGACTGGTGTGTGGGACCATGCTAGAGCAACAATGGAGCCCAGAGCCACTGGATGCCAGGATAGAAGGTTCCTAAGGGTTCCATAAGGCCACCCTGCTGGATGGGAGAAAAGGCCTTCCTCCCACGAGGGAAAGCAGGGGGCAGACAAAACGAGAAATCAGATTGGAGTTTGGAAGAAATGAAGGCAAGTGAGAGAGTAGAGAGGGGAGGAGTGGGGTGGTGTGGGCCTTGTACAGAATGAAAATCCAGGGGAAGGAGTGCACCCCATCTCCAAACAGGGAGTCCCCTACAGGAGGAGGACAGACCTCGCTCGGCCTGGATTTGGACCACTACCCTCCCTCCTGCAGCTGGGATTTCAGGGTGGTCTGTCCTAACTCTCCAAATAAATGATGTCTCAGCTGTGCGGGGTGAGGAGGGCTTGTTTCTCTGAGAGCCATCAGGGGTCACTCCCACAAAAGCAAGGCTTCCCTAGTCTGGACCCTATGCCTCCACTGACCATAGAGATCACAGCCACAGTCAAGAATCTAAAGACCCCACCAGGCCTTAGATTCCCACAGCACAGTTTCCCACAGTACAGACCTGAGCCTTCAGAGGAGCAGGAAGGGAGGGCAGGGCCATCAGAGGGACAGGGGGCAGCCCAGCCCAGGGGATACTCCTGGCCTTGGCCCAGGCTCCAAGCTGGCCTCCACCCCCGGCTCCTGGGAGGCCCAGAGGACCCAGTTCTCACAGGAGGGTGGGGATAAGCAGGCACCTGCTGCTCCCAGGTGCCTCCCCAGGGCCAGCTGGTCCTAAGGTGGCCTGGGCAGCACAGCCCTTCAGATGCCCACCAGCTGGTTATACCTTCCCAACACTCCCACATGTACATGCAGGTACATGTATGCAATTGTGTAAATTAATAAAAGAAACCTCAACTAAATTGGAGTCAGGAAGGCCTGCAGCAGGAGCTCTCACCCCCATCACATATCATCAATTACACCAAACAGGAAGAGATGTTCCCTTGCATCTTCAAGAAGTAAAGCTACTTTGCTACTGCAAGAAGATTTCTCTCCCCACCCAACAATAGCCTAGCTAATCAGAAATGCCGCAGCCCGGCCAATCAGAAACACCACAGCTCAGCCAATCAGAAATGCTGCAGCCCAGCCAATCAGAAACGCCACAGCTCAGCCAATCAGAAATGCTGCAGCCCAGCCAATCAGAAATACCACAGTTCAGCCAATGAAAATCAGTCACTGCCCTGATCTGTGTCTCTCCCAATGGACTTTCCTTTAGAGCAGCCCCTCCCTCTCCCCCTTTTTCTCTATAAAAGCAGCGCTCTCCTTTGTTTGCTGGATTTGCCTCTGGTTTGCCATAGCATGCACATCTGGAATTGCAATTCTTTTGACTATTCTTGAATAAACTCATTTTGAGGATAAAATGAGAGGCAAATTTGCTTTTTGAGTTGACACAATGCATATGCATACGTAATGCAAATAAATTTATTATTACATTAGGTTAATTACACAAGTCCCCTTTCTCTCCCAAATCTCTTTGACTGCATTTTTATAAGTACTTTTCTCTTTAATCTTATCAAGTCCTAAAGCAAGAGAGTGTTTATAAATAAATTACAGCAAGTCTCAAATTAAATATTTATAAAAATTATTGTTTAGCTCTCAGCCCATCTCTCAATTAAGCAGATTTTAAAAACAACACTTAAAAAAATTTCTGGCTTGCCAGGCTAAAAATATTTCTGTGTTCAATAGTTTTATTTTTGCCTTCCGCAATAATGACATGGCTCTGAAGAAGTTGTTTTTTCTCAAGAAGAATTTCTCAAGATTTAATTTCACAACATTAATTATATCTTCAAAATTATGACTTCCAGGAGAGAGGATTGTTTCCAGGAGAACCCCGTTTCTAGGACTGAAAGGTCAAGACACAGGGTGAAATTCCCAGTGCCTCCCTTTCCAGCCACGTGAGGTGGGCATTTTCTTTGCCACTGGAGGCTTCGTCCCTGTAAAATAGAGATGAAATATGCAAAATTGCGGGGGAGGGCACATAGAAGAGTCCCCAACTCCAGGCCACATCCGGGGGTGTCGGTGAGCTCTTTGCTGCCCTGAAGAATGGAGCATCAGGACACAGGACCGAGTGTGATGAGTTACATTTCATGTACCACAGCCGAGTCAGCACCATCGATTATTTGTTATCCTGCCAAAATATTAAGGAACCAGGTCCATGAGAAAAGAGAGATGATTGGGTATAATTTTATAGCAGTGCTGCCCTTCGTTTAATAATAGACCATAAAATTGCTAAAATAATAAACTGTAAAATCGCATTTTACAGTTTGATGGTTTCTGCTCTGGGGACCAATCAGGGCCAGTGGGTGAGTGGATGTGGCCCCCCAGGCTCAGGTCCAAGACGAAGGAAGGGCCAGTCCCTCCCTCCTGCGGCCTCTCCTCGGGCCCGTGGCTCTCGGTCCTGCACTGGCTCATCTCAGGCCTCAGATCCAGCATGAGGAGCAAGAGTGGAGATGGGGTCAGGGAGCGCGAGGCAGGGAGCAGTGGTTCCTGCTCCTCAGGATGCAGCACCCCCAGGAAAGGAGAGAAAACCGTGGACGCTCTCCCAGAAAAACCCCAGACAGGCCACGTTCTCCGTGATTTTGCATGGTTCTTAGACCAGCTAAAACCCATCTAAGGGACCTTTGAGGGGCAAGGAAGATAGTAGCCACCTTAGACCCTTCTAGATTCTCTCCAAGTAGACAACGCAGCCAGAACAGTCATAAGGGGGTTGGGGGACTGGCCAATGCCCAGACAGGACAGGCAGACCAGGCTGAGGATGCTGGGGTCTCTCGGGGCAGGTGGGGGGCGGCAGGGCGAGAGTGCTGGGTACCCTCCTCAGCGGACACAAGTTCCCCAGCTCAGGCCGCTTTCACCTCTCAGAGATGGCCTGCCTGGCACAAGGGCGTCTCTCCCTCTCCACGTCTGTGCTGGCTCTGCTGGGGGCAGCTACGCACCGGACACTTGCAGCGAAGCGGAGACTTTCCCCTCTCCTGGGGAGCTCAGAGCAGCCACCCCCGCCGCCTTGTTTCATTTTAGTTTTATTTTTGGTGCAGGTGTCACAGGCGTGCGATCACCCTTTGTAAGATGTCTGAGGATGTGTCGAGTGAGGCCCCGGAAACCCAGGAGCCTGGGCAGTGTGCATTAGTGGGGAGAGCTGGGGCCGAGAAGCAAGGACCTGGACAGGCCACTTCATCTCTGAGCCAGGGGTCAGCAGGCACTTTCTTAAAGGGCTGACTAGTAAAGATCTTAGGCCTTGTGGTCATACGATCTCTGTCTCCTCCTCTGCTCTGCCTGCAGCTTGAAAATTGCCAAGGATAACAGGAAGCAGCCACAGATGAGAGGGAAGCAATAAAACTTTATTGGCACACAGGGCCCACGGGCCCTGCTCTGCTGACTCCTGTCTGAGACCATCAGAAACTTCCTCAGCCAAATGGGCACCTGCAGTGCCAAGTCGCAGGGAGGTGTGGACAGATGAACAGACATAGGGACATGAGCAGGGATCAGAGCAATGCAGATGACACGGCATCCCACGTCTTCCTATCGAGTAAGCAAATGTCTTTGTTGAGAATATGGGTTGCTGGCAAGACGTAGTGTGACAGTCACTCTCATCCTCCCAGATGGGAAAGAGGGTGAAGTCGGTCACAGGCACAAAGCTGAGAGGCTCCTGGCCAGGGACCAGGATGAAGCCCTTCCATTCATGAGGACAGTGATCCAGAGGCCCGGTTCCCTGCCTGGTGAGGGCTCGGGCCCGAGATCTCCCTCCCGCCATGGCGTGTGGAAGGACCTGATCAGAGAGGCTCCAGGGCGGCCGCCAGGGCTAGGTGGGCCGCACCTTCATCTCCGACACCTTGTAGCTATAAGAGACTTTCCCAGAACTCCAGGTGACACTTTGGTCGGTGCTCTGGTTGGGGAGGTAGCGGCCGTTCAGGTTGGATGAGTGACAACTGTTGTACCACCAGGCCCCCTTGTACAGCTCTGCACAGTTTGAAGAAGTCAGGTCGTTGTCTTGGTCTTTAGTGGAGAAGAACCGATCCTTGTGGGCTGTCAGAGAATCTCCTGCCCGGGAGGAAACAGGGTGGTGTTGGTGCCAGGAAAGGCCCTGCCATCAGGAGGCCCTGCCCTGCTCCTGCCTCTTGCTCCTAGTTAGGGGCCCCCACACTTGAGAGAGGCAGCTGGGCTCTGGGGATGGAGAGCCTGCCTGGGTGTGGTGGGGAGAGGGAGCAGAAGGTCCATGACCTGCTCCTGGGCCAGCACCCCTTCCCCACAGCGCATGGCCTCCTCCTCCAGCCATCACCTGTCTCCTCCCGGCTCCCCCAAGACCGTCAGGACCCGTTCTCTCCCCTGAAGTCCCTCCCTGCCCCTAGCCTGCTCCTCTCCTCTGGGCTTCTTCCTCCATCCCCGGGTCGCCCTGGTGTCCCCGGTGGGGACAGCACGGCCCTCATCTGGGGGCCCCTGCTCCATCTTCAGTCCTGGGTATGAAGCTCACCTCTGGCTCCTGCAGTTTCCCCCCGTGAGCCTCAGCTTTGCCACCTTCCGAATGGGGACGGTGGGCCCTGCCCTGTGCCTCCCTGGGAAGGCTCAAGTGAGGTCAGGTGTGTCGAAGGGGTGCACACACTCGGAGACCCCCATTATCTGATGCCCCCGGGGGTGCCCTGCTCTCTGCAGCTCTGGGGTCAACAGTTAAACAGGCTCATGCTGTAGCAGTTCTCAGCGCCTTCAGTGAACAATGGCGGTCCCCAAGAGGATGTTCTGTAGGAAATGCCTCTCCAAATCATGTGACCAAAAAGTCCCTTTGGCAAAGAACATCCCACAGGGCTCGTGTTCCATGGAACACAGTTTGGGAACAGGGCTCTGAGGCCCTGTGTGATGTGACCGTCCTATTCCAGGTGTCAGCAGGGATGAGGGTCAGGAACCCCAGGCCCCACTCACAGACAGCTCACTGTTCTGCAGACACGGCCCTGTGAGCGGTGACTGATTATGTCCCTGGTCCCCATGCTACACAGAGATGCAGATATTCGTGTCTGTGTTTACAGATGGAGAGGCTGGGGCTCAGAGACAAGAGGCCCCCAGCCCAGGGTCACCCGGGGGAGACAGAGCCAGAAGACCAGGCAGGTTCTCTCTGCTTCCCCAATCCGGCTCTGGAGCCCAGGCCACTCTGCCCCATGCACACTCTCACCTGCAGCACCCCCGACAAAGTCTCCCAGGATCAGTTTGAACTTGTCTGCCTCTCCCGCCACCTTGAATGACCTGTACTTGGCAAATTGGTGGTTGCCCTGAAAGTCCACAAGGTCTACCCGGAGCTCACTGGTTCCTGTTGGGGAAAGATTTTAAGCTGCCAGCAGAAGAGACCCTCTGCCTCCAGGCATCGCAGGTAGGAATTTGGGTCAGTTTTTAGGTGATGTCTGAACTTGGCATCCAGGGAAAATTCAACTGGGAATGTATGAAAATCCCCTGTAGATGTAAGCACCTCAGGAAGTGCTCCATTTCTAAATTCTTCCCTGCTATCCCATAAGCCACACCTGAAATTCCATGGTGGGTGTTCATTTGATGGAACGTAGCATTGCTCTATTTTGAAAGTGTAAGTTCTCCTGCAAATGATTGTTAAGCCACTAACATGCTAGTTCAAGAAACTATTTGTAGTTTCTTTTGCAAGAGTTTGAGGCATAGGAGTGGACACCTTCCAGGTTGCCATGGGGTAGTGGTTTCAGAAAATAAGGATCTACAATTTGGCAGTTCACCTCAGGACCAGTTAATACAATGCAACAGAGAATTAGGGGTAAAGACCTCTCTCTCGGGGTGAATGTGGTATGTGGGGACTGTGACATGCACTGGCCTGGAAGAGGCAAGGGACAGGTCTCTGTGGGTCTAATATCCCAGTTTCAAGGAAAGACTGACGATTGGAAGTGGGAGAAGGGCTAACTCAAGTCCTCATGGCCCCCTTCTCACGTCCTTCTCTCGGAAGACTCAATTGACCCTGAGACCGGAAGAGGTCTTCACCCCAATAATCCAGCTTCCTCTGATTCTAACGTTCAGAGAGTCTAAGAGAATACGTGTCCTAGGTTGTCACAGTTGTGACATCTTCTGCTCTCAGAGTTAACCGCCTGGGGGTAGAGGGGCAG